CAGCGGCATCTCTTCCAGTGGGTTCCAGATACTCGACGAGGACGAGACGGTCAAACCTCGCTCTCGCTTGTTTCCCTTGGGCTTGGATGCCCTACCTGGTGCATCTACGGGTAAGACTTTCTTGGATGCACTTGTTGTGGCGTTGCCCGTAGCCGCCGCCATGGACGCCAAGATGGCCTCCAACGGATCCGCCATTGATAGCGTCGGTTGTCTACTGACGGGGGCACTAAAAGTGAGTGGCAAAGAGCGGGGAGGGGGTCGCGTAATCCGTGTTTGGAACACATCGGTACATGACCGAGCCAGTGGGACCAAACGTGGCTCTTATGGAATTCGATGTCATTGTTGATGTGGAACAGTGCCTTAGAAATGGCTTGGAGGAGCCACAACGTGCGTTATAAAGCACGTATACGCCAATGGGCGGTGAAGAACCCACTGTTTTTTTCAGTGCATATCGTGTTTGATCGCACGACGAACTTGCTCACTTGAGTGAGTGTTTCCCTGCAACAGCGGATAGAACCACGGAGACTTCATCGCGTCTATTCGTACGTGGCACAGTCGTGTTTGACTACTTCTAGTTTTTGACGTCCTCATTTCCGAGTCATGAAACCAAGACAGTACACTCGAAAAGCTCTCGACATACGAACTGGAATCAGCTCTGAGATTACCGGGAACTGACGCCGTCCTTGTGGGTATCATTTTTGCTCATCAAAATCGAGCGAGGCATAGTGCAACGAGATACGACATAACGAGGCCATAGCAGCACCTGTCAAAGTACATACATACTCGCCTGATCGATAGAAAAGATGTAAACACGAATAAACCAGTCAAGTGAACCCAAATCTATTTCGATCGCATACATATATCAAGCATAGAGAGATGACGCGAAAGGCAAGCCTGACTACAGATTCGATCAGGGCGAGACGACGTCTGCGTCTCGATACTGAACCTCGTATTTCTCAACACGTCTGGACCACACCCCGACCCCGACCATTCCGTTGGTCCATTTCGGGATCCCCCTCACGACAGCAAACATTCACTCGCCTCTGCATCCGAATGTACGCTGTCTCGTCCACAACGCGCGCCGCGCGGCAGCAGCCCGAGCGGCAGCCTCCAAGGTGCGTCCAAGTAAAATTCAAGGGGCTAGCAATCACCTTCCAACCCCCCTCGTGCTCGTACTACCAGAACGTATCTTTCTTGATGTCCTCGGTCTTCCATACTGATCTCCCTTACTATGTACGGTCACCCCTCTCTTAGGCTCGCATATCATCAAGCTGCAGTATCCCGTCCTCTGTCCCGCTGTCTGTGCTGGACCCTGAAGGAAGTCCCACGATTGACGAAACGTACGCGAAGATGGAGAAGAACCTCCACACAGTGCGCAAGACCATGAGTGACAAGCCCCTGACGCTTGCGGAGAAGATCATTTACGGCCACTTGGATGACGCGACCGTGAAAGCCACGCGTGGGGAGACGTACCTGAAGCTGCGTCCTGACCGCGTGGCCATGCAGGATGCCACGGCCCAGATGGCCGTGCTGCAGTTTATCTCGTCGGGTCTGCCGAAGACAGCGGTGCCAACGACGATCCACTGTGATCACTTGATTACGGCCGAGAAGGGGCTCGGACAAGGACTTGAGCAATGCCAAGATTATCAACAAGGAGGTCTAGGACTTCTTGTCGTCAGCTGGGGCCAAGTTTGGCATGGGGTTCTGGAAACCTGGTAGTGGCATCATCCACCAGATTGTCCTCGAGAACTACGCCTTTCCTGGCGGTCTCATGATTGGCACTGACTCGCACACACCGAATGCGGGTGGTCTAGGCATGTGTGCTGTTGGTGTTGGCGGTGCTGATGCGGTCGATGTCATGGCTGGGATGGCCTGGGAACTCAAGGCGCCCAAGGTTATTGGCGTCAACCTTACTGGCAAGCTCTCGGGCTGGACGTCACCGAAGGACGTGATCCTCAAGGTGGCTCACATGCTGACTGTCAAAGGCGGAACTGGAGCCATTGTAGAGTACTTTGGCCCTGGCGTGGAGTCCATTTCGTGCACGGGTATGGGCACGATCTGTAACATGGGCGCTGAGATTGGTGCCACGTGCTCAACGTTCCCGTACACCGAGCGTATGGGTGACTATCTACGCTCTACAAAGCGTAGCGGCATTGCCTCGGCAGCCGAATCGTTCCAAGCCAACCTACGAGCTGATGAGGGAGCCCACTACGATCAGATTCTTGAGATTAACCTCGATGAGCTGAAGCCGATGCTGAATGGTCCGTTTACGCCTGATCTCGGTCACGTTGCTGGTGCGGACATGAAGGTAGCTAGCGAGAAGAACGGGTGGCCGACGGAGCTGAGCGCTGGTCTAATTGGTTCGTGCACGAACTCCAGTTACGAAGATATGACTCGCTGCGCCGACCTGGCCAAGCAAGCTAAGGACGCAGGTCTCAAGTTTAAGGTGCCGTACTACGTGACGCCTGGTTCAGAGCAGGTGCGCGCCACCATTGCTCGCGATGGTATCCTGGACACGTTTGTTGAATCGGGTGCTACAGTCCTTGCGAACGCTTGCGGTCCATGTATTGGCCAGTGGAACCGTACTGACATACCTATGGGCGAGAAGAATTCGATTCTCACATCGTATAACCGCAACTTTGCCAAGCGTGCTGACGGCAACCCCGCCACGCATAGCTTCGTGACATCCCCGAGTTGGTGACAGTTAGCTCCATTGCGGGTGTTACCACGTTTGACCCTGCGAAAGACACGATCGAGACCCCGGACGGAAAAGATTTCAAGTTTTCTGCTCCATTTGGCAAGGAACTCCCACTTCGTGGCTTTGACCCCGGTGAGGAGACGTTCCAGGCTCCGCCTGCCAGTGGTGAGGGGCTGACGGTGAACGTTGATCCGCAAAGCGAACGCCTGTCCCTTCTGTCTGCATTTGATGAGTGGAACGGCGAGGATCTGGTGGATATGCCAGTGCTGATCAAGGCAAAGGGCAAGTGCACTACCGACCACATCAGTATGGCTGGCCCGTGGCTGAAGTACCGTGGTCATCTGGACAACATCTCGAACAATATGCTTATTGGTGCTGAGAATGCCGAGACTGGCGAGACGAACAGTGTAAAGAATCAGCTGACGGGCACGTTCGACAAGGTACCCGCTGTTGCTCGCCAGTACAAGGCCAGTGGCTGCAAGTGGGTCGTGATTGGTGACGAGAACTACGGCGAGGGGTAGTTCTCGCGAGCACGCCGCTCTGGAACCGCGCCCACCTTGGTGGCAGTGCTGTGATCGTGAAGTCGTTTGCGCGTATTCACGAGACCAACCTGAAGAAGCAAGGTATGCTGCCGCTGACGTTTGCGAACCCGGCAGATTACGACAAGATCACGGGCAACGACAAGGTGGCCATTTTGGGTTTGAAGGATTTCGCGCCAGGCAAGCCGCTAACGCTGCGTGTGACCCCCTGCCTCCGGTGAAGCTCCTTTTGACATTACGGTGAATCATACATTCAATGAGGAGCAGATTGAGTGGTTTAAGAGTGGCAGCGCGTTGAACCTGATGAAGAAGAACAACGCTTGAGCGATTCACTCACATCTGGACGAGCTTGCAGGAGGAATCAATTGAAGAGAGATTACGATGCCCTCGCTAGCAGTGTGAAGTGCCGCTCTTTTGTAATATCACTAACAACGCACTGCTGGTGCATCTAGCTCGTGTCATACTAGTAAGCTGCTTGTTTTCCAGATTAACAAGACAAAGAATACCGAAAGGTGTCAAGCTCATCGTCGCAAAACCCAGTACATTTGCTTGAAAAACTGTCTGCTTCTGCAGCGACACTTGCATATCGCTATTCTCCGTGGCGAAAGGGTTCCAGTTAAAGTGCATTCCCAATCGTACACATCCGAGGTCTGAACCCATCACGATATTCGAATTTTGCCCATGATGGAGAACCAGGAGAGCGTCGGGAGCTACTCGCCTCTCACAGGCTTCGTCTTCATCTTCAACCTCATTGTAGGCGCTGGAGCGCTCACGATTCCTCACGCTTTCGCCAATGTAAGTCGCTCTGTTTCAACGTTACTGCATTAGGCTCCTCCTCTCACGTCTCCGAGGCTTTTGCTTGGATCCACTAGGTTGGTCTCGCTTATGGGTCCGTCGCATTGTCCGTCCTGGCTTCGGTCAGCTATGTGACGGCCACCTTTATGATCGAAGCTATTGCAGGCGTGAACGCACTGAAGAGATGCAAGGGTGAGCTGGGAGCAAATGCCAACACGGACGACGACGACAAGCGGTCGCTTGAGGAGCTCAACGACAGTGATGACAACGATGTACTCACGGAGTTTGTGCCGCTAATGGTGGCCAATGAAGTAGATTTGCATGGACTGCTGCCTTTCAGGGTCACCACATCTCAGTAACATGCTGCGTGCGTCTTCGTTGCTATGTTTTCTGGTCCTGCAGGAACACGACGCGCTCCAGAAGAACCTACGGACGAAGGCCAGTGAGCGTAAGCTCCGCTTTGATCTGTCCAAGAAGGTGCGGCATGAGAAGGTGCGAGTGGTAGGAATACAGTCATGTAAGTGTTGTGTTCTGGGATTTAGGTGGAGCTGGCCGAAATGGCAGAGCTGCTGTTCAGCCACCGAGGTGTTGTGGCGTTCTACGCGTGCATCACAGTGTATCTATACGGCGACCTGGCCATCTATGCTGTCGGTACGTTTACGACTCTAGGCTTGGTTTCTTACAGTGAATCTTACGGTAGTTGCTGCGTGAATTTGAATCGATGGTGGGACCGCAGCCGTCCCAAAGTCTCTGCGAGAGATCATTTGTCCTCGTCCCTCTGCTGACGCTATTGTCTGGGCATGTTCGGACGAATTCAACAGCTCAGAGCTCTACCGTCTTTTTGTCGTGCTCTTCGGACTGTTGCTCGGTCCATTCACGTTTGGCCACGTGCACAAGACGCGCACACTTCAGCTTGTTTCCACTGTTATTCGCCACGCATCTTTTGGGCTGATGATTGTGCTTGCCAGTTTTGGAATCGCGCGAGGCCACGGACGAAGCTTAGCTGATGTCGTGAGTTATGAAAAGTCCTCGAACATTGCCACCTTTTTCGGCGTGTGCATCTATTCGTTCATGTGCCACCACAGGTAAACGAGAAGACTGTTACTTTGTTTTGGTACTGGAGATTGTTCGGTGAGGTAATGACTTGCTTTGTCGTGCCCGTGCTGCAGCGTTCCGGGCCTCGTGGCACCTATTACAAACAAGTCGAAAGTCGGAACGGTTGTGATTTCGGCCTTCATGGTACGTTCGCTCTGCCGTTCAATTTCTACTTCTTTCCTGCAGCTGTGTTCACAATTGCTGCGGAGTGTACCTGTTTGTATCGTAGGCGGTCCTTAGCGTCTATTTCGTGCTGTGCGCCTCGGCGACGTTCCGTTTCAAGCCAGAGGACGTCCAGGTTGGGGTGGAAGCTCAGTCCTGGTGCTGGTGGTATGTATGCTGACATGTCTCGCTCTTTGCTGTACGAAGGATGTGTACACACTCAACTTCAAGAACTACCCCGTGCACGCGTTTGGATACTTTCTCAGCTTGTTCCCGGTGTTTACTCTAAGGTGAGGAGTGGGTGAACGACTGTATCCTTCTGCGTTACAACGACCCATCAAAGAACTGTGCTCGTTTGCTGTTCAATCGCAGTGCGAGTTTCCCGCTGATCTGCATCACCCTTCGCGAGAACATTCGCCACCTCGCATCGCGTGTGGTCGAGGCCAGCCCAGCGACCAACGCTAGTGCTCCGCGTGGCCTGTACGGTTTCGTACAAGTGAACACGTACGCGCTCGTGGCGCTTCTGCCGCCACTCGTCGTGGCGTTTTTCACGGAAGATGTGTCGATGCTCGTGGGATTCACAGGCACCTACGCTGGATTGGGCATCCAGGTACGTGGTCGCCCAGTTCGTGGCTCGTTGCAATTTCGCAGTGGTACGTACTTACAACCGCACGACGTGCCTGTGTGCTTTGTTCCTATCAGTGGCTTGTCCCGACATGTCTCGTCTACTGTTTGCGCAATCGTCTGGCAGTGGAATGGCCGCAACAATATCCGATGGAAGGAGAGCTTTCGCCAACTTCTGAGGCAACACGTGGACCCAAGAACCGCTACGCAAGTCCATTCGCACACGACGCGTGGCTCTACGTGGTGCTTGGGTTCTCGCTCGTTTCGGTCGTGCTAGTCACCATTACACACGGCATGCTCTAAGTCAAGCCCGGCAAAAGGTGCGACGCCTTTTGTTGCAGAACGTGCGTGCCAAGACGGGATTCGCTCGCTCGTGCAATACGGACTAGGGCGTGCAATAAAGACTGCGGCTTGAAGTCGGTAGCCGTTGCGGCGCGACTCTCTATGTCCGTCCTCGTGGTCGGTCGGTTTTCCAATCAACAAGTGGCTCGTTTCCCCCCTCCCCCGCTTCTCTGCCTCGTTTACGCCAAAAAGTGGCCTCGCAACTTTCCGCCAATAAACGACGGGGAGCTCCACTTAAGTCCGACGCGCCCCGTGCAAGAGACGTCTCCTCGACTTGCAGTCAGATCCGCGTGCCCGCGGCCCGACGACAGTCGTCCGTCCCTTGCGCACTCGCTCCTCGCCTCGCCAGAGTCTCTCCTCGTGCGTGTTCCTGGATCCGTTTGCATAGAGGAAAAAGCTCCCACGTCCTTACTTGGCCATGGCAGCGTTTAAAGGTCCGGCTGGCAGTTTGCGATAGTTGGTAGGGGATTAATTCTGGTACTAAACTAAAGCGCTGGTTATGTGTGGTCGTGTTTTGGGTGTGTGTGTGTCTGTATGTGTTGTTGGACCTACAGCTCCCCCACTGTCTGCGTTTTTCCGCAAGGAAGAGGACAATCTGGTCACACAGGGACTCGCAGACGTGCATAGCGTGGCCATGTTCCACTCGTTGTACGACGTGGGTGACCTCATTGGTCGCGGCGCGTTTTCGCTCGTGTACCTCTGTCGGAAGAAAGAGACGCAGCAGATCTTTGCAGTCAAGGTCATTAACAAGGCACTTTGTGTTAAAAAGAAGACATTGCGGGATGAGATCACTGTGTTACTACGGGTCAAGCACGCCAACATCATTAGCCTTGAAGAGGTCTATGAGAGTGACCAGGAGCTCTTGCTCGTCATGGAGAGGTACACTGCTATGGTAGAAATATGGATTTTCGATTGATTGACTGACTGACACTTTGCAGAGTTACGGGAGGCGAGCTATTTGATCGCATTGTGCGTGTGGGCGTTTACTCGGAGCGACAGGCAGCAGAGATTGTCACTAATGTGCTGCAAGCGCTGCACTATCTGCATTCGTGCCACATCCTGCATCGTGATATTAAGCCGGAGAACATTCTTCTTGCCAGTGGTGACAGTGGCGACATTAAACTCAGCGACTTTGGCATTGCCAAGATATTGGAGGATGAAGACGACGGCGCACGTTCTCGTGGCCGTGCATACACAAGTTGTGGAACCGACTACTATGTTGGTAAGTGGATGGGTGGATAGTGAGCCTTGTATTTGTTGTGGTCTGACGATTGTACGTTTGTTATTGCGTCCAGCGCCTGAGGTTCTGAACGGCGAAGGCTACGATAGTAAAGTGGATTTGTGGAGTCTTGGTGTTGTCTTGTACATCATGTAAGTGAAAACGCACAGCTGCCGTTAGAACGATATGGTTTTGTGTACATACTTATGTGAGGTGAGGTGGCACTTGTCAAGGTTGTGCGGATTCCCTCCATTCGCGGAAGATGAAAATGGACTCGAGTCGGTGTATCTTAAAATTCGCTCTGGTGCATTAGACTTTCCTCACCCGTATTGGACAAACGTGTCCGACGGAGGTATGCAGCTTAACACACTGATCTGTAACGTGTGATTGTCGCGTGTAACTCACACCTTTGAGTGTATTTTGCACATGTAGCCAAGGATCTGATTCGCAACCTGCTCGACGTATCACCGCAAGACCGCTTCAGCGCAGCGCAGGCACTAAACCATCCGTGGATAAAGGGCGAGTACAGCGAGCAGCCGCTTTCGTCGGCTATCTTGGAGATGAAGCGCTTCAACCAGAAGCGTCGTTTTAATTAACTCGACGATCTAAAGCTCCAGCAACGGCAGCCGGCACAAAGACAAGCCGAAGACAGAAAACATGAGGGCGCCACAAACTGCGGTTGCTGGGGGCGCAGCATAGACGTATTTCATAGTGGTTCTACTCGCTCCGCCCCATGCACGTACCTAAAAACATAAGCCTTAACTCGAAATTTGGATGGTTCCCATGTAGCAAAACTAGCAAACATCTCGTCTCGTTTCCTTCCCAGGTCCCGCTGACCACCATCTCATTATCAAAGCATGTACGTCTTGTAGCTGAGCGCTATCACGAATGTAGCGGACGCCTTCGATTATCAAACTGCATGTGATGAAGTACCAAGAAATGTCAGTGAACGATGTCAAAAATTGAATGCCGAGGGCCGTCTACAAACCTCGAATCCTTCGAGACAAGAAACGCATTCGCGATGTGATCTGGAATATCGCGAGCGTTTGCAAAGACACCTCCTTTCTTCACACGAGATACAAATGCTGCCATACGACTTCAGCACAAAAGATTAGATTTCCCTCCAACATACAGTCGTGATGAACAAAAAGTTCCAGTGCTCACCTGATCCGTGTAGCTGCCGACACAAGATGTGCTCCAGTTTCAACCGCCTTGGAAAACGTAACACTCCCGTCCAAGCAGTAGATACAACCCTTGATATTTTTCCAGACGTGAACAAGTGGCGAATCTAGCAACATCAGCTCCAATCCGTCTTTTTCTTGTAGTCTTCCGGTGCGATAGCGATCATACAGACTCTTGGCGTCCTGGAACTCGGACACAACAAACGGTACCAGCGGCAGTGATACGACACCAAAGATTACGGCAAGGAGGCTGAACACTACGAATGATGGACATCTTTTAACAAACAACACTGCCATGCCAAACGACCTTGGAGGTGGAACGGCATTCAGGCTTTGCTTTAAATAAGCGACCAGCAACTGAAGCTCGCCAGCAATTTCCACGTTCCGGAGCTGATTCCGCAAACGACGTAGTTCAGGGGTAAACACATGCACCGCTGCTTTTTCCATAGAGTCGAGACAATCAGTCAGCATCCTAGACAGCATCTCCAACGAAAAATCGGTGGGTTGCTGCCAATATTCTACGATCCAGTTTCCCAGTCCCAAAAAGAACCACGCATCCAAGTCAACATCCGTATGAATGTCGCTCGCTATGTCGCTAAAAAGCGTATTCAACGCGCGCCGACATACTTCCTGCAGCTCGGATGACGTGACTGAGCCCAGCACAATTCCACCGGCATCAATGAATGCAGGCCCAAGCAGTCGCATCGCATCGGCCCATTGACCACGCCACATGACCCAATACACGATCGTCAGGGAATACGCAGCAAACTTGAGTCGTCTTCCTTCACCCCACAGCTTAGCTTGGTGTCCAGCGTCAGTGCGGAGTGAATTGGTCACGAGTCCTGCTGTAACTGCGAGTACCATGCCTGCCAAGCGCATATCTTGTTGCAAGAAAAGCATAAATTTCAGCTGCCCAAATACCTTCAAGAAGACTGGGATCACAAAGATAAACCGCGGAGCCCATGCGAAAGCACCCAACTTGTCGGTTGAAGACTCCACCCAATTATATGCAAATTGTACGGCTCGCTTCTTAAGCTGCGTGCGGTAAAGACATATCACCAGCATGGATATTACCATGATCTTCTGTCGATGTACAATTGCTTGTGCAAGTAACGCAAGGAAGAAAAGCCCCAGACCAATAGCCACACGTCGCAGATTTAACAGCTCTGAGAAAACATACACAGCCGCAAGTCTCGCCAGCTTCAGGATATCCAGATGTGCCAGGACGCGTTCCATCTTCGATAGAAACACGGTGGTCTGTGTCTCTCGGCCACCTTGTACCGCTCTCTCTCTACTGCTTGCCAATTCTCGGGAGGCCTGTGCTCGTTGGCGAATCTGTGCTGAGCAGCTCTCGGTCGCACTCGATTTATCTCCATAATCTGCTTCCACGTGACCTAGAACTTCCTTGCTTACTAGAGCTTCGCCATCACTCTCCTCTTCACTTTGGTTTAGCAAATCGTTTAAAACGGCCACTCGAGCTTCTTTTAGCCCCGTCTGAAGCTCCTCATCCTCAGGATGTAGTGCAAGTTCTAGTACAGCAACACACAGCAAGACAACGGTGCAAGTAATAACAGAGTTGATCATTAAATAATTGAGTAGGGAGAATCCGCGCAAAGTAGAAGGTGCAGAATATTTACCGCTCTTGTACCGGGCCACAGCATCCTTGTGTCTACCCAGTCGAGAGAGTGCTCGAGCGAGCAGCAGAAATCCTTGAAGAGACGTTTTGTCCAGATCCAAGCAGGCTTGAGCTACATCCGCTGCTTTATAGAGTGCGGACGTCGTTCCTTCGTCCAACAACTCCTGGCAGTGGAGAATTAGCTCTGCTAACGTCTTCGAGTCTTGCATGGCTTTGTTCTTAGACTTTTGCATTGCGAGAATATTTGGATTGTAAGAATGCTTTGATGGGATCCAATAAAACCGCGGGACATGTAAAGAGACGGTACTTTGTTGTTACAACGTGTACTAATCGAATTGCCGATTGGCAAGTGGAACGAACACGTCTCGTTGTAGATGATATGAGTGACATTTGTAAGTCGAGCTAGGATACTGAAGCGTGAAATAGACTCTTTAGGTAGTACAGATAAATCCTGCTTGGTACACTTTGTAGCTTTCGTGTTTCACGACCTGCGAGATCTCTGTTTTTTAATTGCCGATGAACAAATCGTCGGTGTAACGGGGCACCCTGAAGCTTGTACTGGTGACAGTACAAGCTACTTATTCTGATAACAGAATAAGGCGGTGCCTCGTAACTTCACGTACACTCGTACGTGCAGAGGAAGACGGTAAGAAGAAGCGAGTACTCGGTTAGAGTAAAAAGTAGAACTGTATTTATAATAGTTAATGTCTGCAATAAATCACTATTTATCTTCATCTAACTATGTCTAAATACAAATGTGTAAATCAGTTATCTGCTCACCACTCATTGCGTGCGTCTGTCGTGGCGCGTCTTCGTTGGTTGATATAATGGCCTATATCAACCAATTAGGAACTACTTGGAAGTGCTACAGAATATTGTCCTTATGACAATATTCTGAGAATATAACTCTTATAGTTATATTCTATTAACAATTTCTTATAAATTGTTATGTAACGATTCACCCCGTTACATCACCCCCCCCTTAACCATCAGTCACTTTAGTGACTGATTGACTAAATGGATACTCGTCCCAAATCATTTGGGACGGGGTTTGCACTTGTTGGTCCGCGTCCACTTTCCAACATCTCATCGCATGGTAAACAAGCCCATGCGATGCGCGAGCAAGGCCGCCGAGAGCGCGTCTGCACGTCTCTGTGCGGACGCCGAAGCAGAAACTACAGCAACTGATGTCCCATCGGTTGCTGAAGAGACCCAGCCTGTATCACCTGGTGATGCAGGCGCTGGTCATGAAGACACTCGTGTCTTCACAGAGTACGAGCTCGGTGTCTCGTACTCTCCTGATACGGATGACGGATCTGTATCGACGGCAATTGAATCCAAGCCGCCTGCCAAGCGTGGCATGGACGATGCTTTGCGTCGCAGCATCTTTGGTTCATCTGATGAGTCAGATGAACCATCGCCGAAGCGAAGGCGCTCGAGGTCGCGAGACTCGGGCGCTAATAGTGGTGTCGGTTCTCCTATGGACACCACTTCACAGCGAGGTGCCAGTACTTCTGTCGGCACGTCGCAGGAAGAGCGGGACCGCAATGTGTTGCGTCTCGCTCCAGAAAAGAAGGCATGGATGCCTCCTAAATCTGTCATGGATCACTTGTCGGCGACGACGAGTGATCGTTATCGAACACGATTGTTCGATTCGTCAAGGATTCATCACCTTGACCCCAGCGCGAAAGACTATCGCGCTGAACATGAGTTCTTCATCGATGCTTTCTTCAGACATCGATGGTACAGTGGGAATCACAAACGTGATGGTCCCTCACTACTTCAGGCGTGGAACGCCTACATCCATAATCTCGAGGATGTAGGTCGTGACGCTTGGAACGACAAACTTATCAAAGCTCGTGATAAGTTTGAAAAGCGAACCCCGACAGGTGCACGCTACAAGCTGCATCGTCTGTCAAGGGAGAAAGGATTACCCTGCCTCTCTTGGGGAGACTCGTGCCCATGTTGTGTGAACAACTCTGCACGAGCACCTAAGGAGGCTTACCTCCTTACCAGCCCGTGGTGGCGCGTACGTGTCTCTACTGAGATGTACGAAGGGATTGACAACCTGAAATCCCTTTACGACCGTGCCGGGAAGACTTTCTCCGGCGGTCCTTCTGCGGCACAGGATGTGTCGCGTCGTACTGCTCGACCAGACCCAGTACGTCAACCATCAATTGGGAGCGGGGCTCCCAAGAATCCCAGGACGGGGGATAGCCGCGCCACCGGACGAGGTAACTCGTCCGACGTCCAGTTCACGTCGCGGTGGTTCAACAGCTGCTCTACTAGATAGCGCTGGCCACCGCGAGAGTCCTCTAATGGAGGTGGAGGAGGAGGAAAGACGCTCTCCACACGATCATGTGGATCGGTGTGTTCCCGAGAGCTTTCTTTGATCGCGTAACGCAAGGGTTACGCGACGATCTCGAGCATGAGCGGAATAGGCGTCTCCAGATGGTGGACACTGCCTCGAAGCATCGAGCTGAGTTTGCCTTTGCTCAGCTTGAGAACGAGAGATCTCTGACATCTCTTCGTGACGAGCTAAGGGTAGCTCGTGGGATTGTTGATCGGTCTCGGGCTGAGATAACTGCTCTTCAGACCCTTGTTGATGCCCACCATCGGGAGCACAAGGCTCTCTGCGAGATGCTTGAGCGCAAGGGCGTTCTTCATCGGAAGAAGCAGCGTACTGATGGTACGGCTTAAGCCGACCAACGTAAAACGTGGGATGCGTTCGCATCTTACGTGGTAACTCGATCGTGTATGCATTGCCTAGGCGGTGCAATACACGAAATGGGCCAATGTACTTGGGTAGTAGTTTACTGCTACCCAAGTTAGTCACTACATGTTTTGGTAGATTAACCGTAGACAGTAGGACTAAGTCACCTTTATTAAATAAAAGAGTGTTTGCCCTTCCATTCTTGTCAGCGTTTTGCTTTTGCTTATCCACCGCTTCGGCGATGGAGTCTTGCACAAAACGGACTACCGTTTCACGAGCCAGTATGAACTCATCTGATGACTCGTTAGCTTCAGTGTGCTGTGAGCGCACTGCAGCGACAACAACCTTTTCTTCAGTGAGGGCTTCCGCACTCTCACTGGGATCATTGTCTTCAGTGAGGGCTTCCGCACTCTCACTGGCATCATCTTCTTCGATATCGATGTTATCGATATCGGCATCAAACGCAATGACTTCTTCGTCAGAGCGTGATGAGCGTGAACCAAATCGGTTTTTGCTCGCGCGAGTCCCTCCCCCCTTAAACCAGAGTTACACTCTAGTAAGGTGGGTACACGCGGATGGCGCAAGCCATTCACGTAAAACGGTGTATGTCGTGGACGCATGCACCGAGTTGCTGATGGCAAACTCTACCATTGGCAAAAACTCACTCCAACTCTTAAAGGAGTGTACGTATCCTCGAAGTATCTCTTCAAGGACACGATTGGCACGTTCCGTCTGACCATCTGACTCTGGATGATCAGATGTTGACATCTTCAAGCGCGTTCCGAGTGATTTGAACACGGAACGCCAGAAATCAGCAGTGAATCGTGGATCTCTGTCTGATACGAGTTCACGGGGCAACCCATGAAGTCGGAAGATGGTGTCAATAAAGACACAAGCACAGCCACTTGCCGTGATTGTCTCTGGTACAGCCACAAGGTGTACCATTTTGCTGAGTCTGTCAACAAATACGAGAATACCCGTATTCCCGCGTGTGTCTTTGGGTAACCCGAAGACGAAATCCATTGAGATGGATTCCCAGCACTCAGCCGGAACCGGTAGAGGCTGTAAAGGTGCACGCAGTGAAGGACTTGACTTCACTCGTTGGCAGACTTCGCATGCGCGAACATACTTTCGCACAAACTGATACTGGCGGGGCCAGTAAAAGTCTCGACTTACCGTGAGATATGTTTTCTCTCGGCCACGATGTCCTCCTATAGGAGCATCGTGATACTCGAACATGATCCGCAAACGCAGATCAATATCATCTGGAATGACAACACGTGGTGTGTCACCAGAAACGGCTGTATAGTACAGTAAACCGTTACGAGTAGTGTATCGATCTGATGCAGATCGATACGCAGACGACAATCGTTTCAACGATTCTCGAGATGGTTGGGAGAGATGTGACAACAACTTCACTATCTCACCATCTTGGGCGTATGCCCGCCTCACATCATCATACAACGTTGTAGATGGAACTGAGGTTGTCATAACCGCAACAGTGACTGTCTCACTGTTGGGTTTCGCGACTGTTTCAAAGTCGGGACGACGTGAGAGTGCATCAGCGACGACATTAAGTCGTCCTGGTTTGTACTCGACCGTAAAGTTGTATTCTGCAAAGAATGACAACCACCGCGCCATTCGTTGTGAAAGGTGCGGGCTGTTCACTGCCGTGCGTAAGGACGCATGGTCAGTGTAAACAACGAAGGGTCTATCTCCTAATAGATAGACTCTGAACTTCGCGAGTGCATACTTCATGGCAAGGAGTTCCTTGTCATGCACTGGATAGTTCCGCTCAGCTGGTTGCAGCTGACGCGACTGATAGCAGACGACGCGTTCAACGCCTTCAAGGTCGTACTGCATTAATGCACAGCCGATTGCGAAATCGCTGGCATCACAGACCACATGAAATGGCCTGTCCTGATCGGCTATTGCTAGGACTGGGGATTGTACCAAGCTCTGCTTGATACCCTCAAAGGAGCGTTGACATTCATCGTTCCATAACCACCTCTCGTTCTTTTTCAACAAACGAGAGAGGTGTACAGTCATCTCGGCGTAATTGCGTGAATACTTATGCAAATACGCCGCTAGCCCAAGGAATTTTCGAAGACCTTTGACATCGACCGGCACGGGCCAGTCGGTGATCGCCTTATCTTTTCGGGATCAGGACGTACACCGTTCTTACCAACGATGCACCCAAGAAGTGGTATTTCGCTTGCTGCAAATATACACTTCTTGAGGTTTGCATACAATTGATGCTTTCGCATGATTGTAAGAACTTGTCGGACGTGGTACTTGTGAACCTCAACGTCCGACTTTCCATCCATAGCTCGACTATGGATGAATACGTCATCGAAATAACTCGGCGCGAATTCTCGTACTGGCCTCAACAGATGTGATACACACCTGTTGAACGTGGCAGGGGCATTACTGAGCCCTTGTGGCATTACTAGCCATTCCCAGAGCATGCCGCTAGGCGTGCTAACTGCGGTATAGGGTATATCCTGTTCCGCATTAGGATTTGATAGAAGCCATCCATCAAATCCATGGACGAAAAGATGGTACTCTTTGACATACCATCAATGATTACGTCCTTCCTCGGTATCGGCGTCTGAGCCGGTACCGTTGCAGCGTTCAATTTGTTAAACGCGTGCACTATCCGCCACCCTCCTGTTGCTTTTCGCACACAGAAGGTCGGAGAGCTATGTGGGGAAGTTGATTCCCTCACATGGCCCGCTGCTAAACGATCGGCAAAGAACTTGTCGATCGCAAGTACTTGTTCACGAGGCAGTGGCCACTGCTTCATGACACAGTACTTCGAGCCTGGTTTAAGCTCGACTTCGTGTCGAATACCTTTATCCTTTGGTAATTCGCACGGAACAGTTTCAGGGAATACATCCTTGAATTCAACCAAATCTTCATAGAGAGGATTTTCCTTGAGCGATTCCCATGATTGGGACTCATATCGCTCAATTCGTGTCTTTTCATCTAGGACACTCTCGTCCATAGATGAACTACTGAGAACTCTCTCGTTCTCAGTAAACACTGTTGCTGACCTTATGTCGGTTACATACTCGTCTTCAGCGACGAGTATGCAGATCTGCTTGACTTTGCCACTACGCAGATCACGCAAGAATCTTTTATGTTCGAGCGTTGGCAACTGAGTGATCTCCGAAGTTAACTTCGGAGGCGCAATCAGATCAAGTGTATAAGCGCCTACACATGATCCGTTATTGACTATGACATTCAATGTCTCTGTCATTTCCTGGGGACTTATTCCCTCAGGCTTCGAAGGACTTATTCCTTCGTCTTCCCGGGGACTTATTCCCGCGGGTTTCGGGGAACTTATTTCCGCCGTATTTGTAATCTTGGGACTTATTCCCTTTACTTCCTCTAGCTGGGGTTGCGCAACCACAGCGAGATCCTCTACGAAAGACTCTCCAGTCGATCTAGGATTATCGTTTCGCTTAACCTGAGCGATCGATTGTTTCTCTTCTAGATGTTCCCCTCTAGGAATACATCTTTGTCCCAGTCCACCCGACTTATTCGAGTGGTGGACCTTCGGCGCAGCCTGTGTTTCCTCACAGCCGCCGGAACTTTGCTCCGAAGTGTAACCGTTTGGTACACTAAGGTTTTGTGCAGTCGTACTAACGACCGTACCACAAGTGAGGCCATCGCACTCACTCGTAGTACATCCACACGCTTGTGGACGCTCCAAAACGTTCATCAGATGGCCATCTGATGAACAAGCGGCAGGCATCGTTACTGTCCGATGTTGCCAGTTTACCCGTGGTTCGTACCTTCTGAGCCACGGTATTCCAAGGATGACATCAAATTTGTCATCCAAATCCAATACGATAAAGTCATCGTCGTATTGGGTATCTTCTAGCGTATAGTGAATCTTCACTATACGCTTCATGACGGTTACGGATGCGCCTGTCGCAAGACGTACCGTCATCCTCGTAGGAGGTGTGTCACATTCACTGAATTTAAAGTGACCATCTTCTAGCGATTGGCGTCGCACAAAATTGTTGGACGCCCCACAATCGACTAGAGCTCGAAGGGACAACTTATTCGTCACTTCGAGTTTCAAGGTAATGAGTGAGATCTCATTACCTAGAGCAGCAACGCACAATGTCTGTGTGTTGGGAGCAACCTTCATCAAGAGGCCTACAAATTCTCTTGACGTTGCTGGATCAGTAGGTGCTCCGCACCTACTGATCCTGTCCGTTTTTTGACGGTCCATCCCGTTGTTGCGTCTTTGCACCAACTGCGGACCCTCGTCCCTGCCCCTTTCTCATGGGTGGACGGTCACTACGCCCAGTGTCGCGAGACACTGGACGAGGGGCACTACACTCGTAAGCGTAGTGTCCTGTCTTTTGACATCTGTTGCATCTCTGCAACTTCTTGTAGCCTGTAGAGCGAGCCTTCTCGCTCTCTACATAACAGAGTTCCATCGGCTCTGGACCTCCGTTGTCATATCGTCTCGGTTGACGATATGATGTCGAGCTGGCGCGAGCCTGTCTCAGACTGAAGTCTTCCTGCTCCGCAATTGAAATGGCTTGTTCTAGTGAATCTAGTTCAAGCCGGAACAGGTGAGTCTTGACGGGACCATCCGCAAGACCCTGCATGAACACCGAAACCAACGTGTGTTCATCCACCGGATTGGAACTTATACAACTCGTGAGATGTCGTATATGTTGAGCGTAAGCGTGCACATCACGCTTACCCTGCTTGAGCTTCAAGAGTTCGGTTCGAGCTCTGAACTCAGCTCTAGGCGGTTCAAACGTTTGTCTGAGCCGCGACTTGAAGACTTCCAACGACCCAAACGCATATGGGTCGTGCAGCTTGAGCCCCAGTGCCCAAGTCTTGGCACGTCCTGCCAGATTTGACTGGGCAAATGCAACTTGCATATCCCCGTCGTCGATGCGACGCGCCCTTATGGCGTCATCCAATTCGACGAACCATCTCAAGAGGGAGTCTTCTT